TTCCTCATATGACCCCTTGTTCCCCTCATTCTTTGCAGCAAATTTGTCTAAAATTCAGACAGCAAGCTTTTTTGCTGCACAGCTTTTTGGTGCCGTTTATATATTTTGTCTGAAATTCCTCATACATTTGTTGGCACTAAAAAGTAATAAATCATGATAAAACTTTGATTCTCATACGAAAATATAAAAAACATAAAATATATGTATGCGTTCCTACTTACTCTCAGGCTTTGAATCCGCTACTGCATGATGCATAGCTTTCAGCTGGAGCTGCACTCTTTGCAGCCTCTGCTCTGCATGGAACAGCTTAAGAGAAAATTGGATCCATTAATAAACTCATTATTCAAGCAAATGTCTTCAAAATACAGTATTAAGATGGAAAAATGTTCACCAGGGAACTTCGTATCCACAAGAAAAAGACTGTATGTTCTTAGAGCACAAAAACAAATGTTTCAACAATTGGCCTGGCATTGTTATATTTTTGTTCTTATTAAAGAATTCATGCTTCTTGAGCTATATCTAAGTGATGTGTCTTTATGGAGGAACTTGTTCAAGAATTTTAAATACTAACATTTGGGGGGATTTTTTTATGAAAGCAAGGACAGAGAAACACCACCCAGTCAGGGGCAGCAAAGGGAGATACTAGACACGGATCCTCACAGCAGCTCTGGCAATACAGCCGAGTTGTTGCAACAATCAAATACTACAATGCTGAGCCAAGCTTAAGAATACCCTGCCAATCTTGTTGCCAAACAGTACCAAGCTGAATGGAAGTATTTTGCCTTACACAAATATCTCCTAGGAAGTGAAATTGGTGAATGTCAAGTTCATTTCATTAGTGGTCTAACTCAGATTCAAGCTAGGATGCAACCAGTGAAGGAATATCCAGTAATTTCCACATTGCTTCCAAACACTGTGTTCAAAACTTGTGTTTTTGTCTTTTCAATACATTCCTCCTTTTCATAAGATTAGCTGCCAGAAGTCAGCTAGTGAGTGCATAGAAGACTATGCCATGGTACGGTGTTGGACTGTTAAAATGTCTTGTTCTGCTCCATGAGCACAGCAGATCCCTCCTGACTGATTCCAACTATTCCTAATAAATAATTCTGCATGCGATCTTCATCAAAGTGGAAAGCCCAAACCCCATTGCTCTTGAACCTGTATAACCCATAGAACTGCATGTTATTTGATTTGCCCCTGCATTATCCCAACTTAAATCCTAATAAAAACACAGATACAAACAAGGTTAAAGCAACATTTAGTTACAACTCATTTATTGATCTCTTAATTACAGCACAGAGCACTTTCAAAGATAAGTGATAATGAAAGTGGCATCTCAGGGAGCTAAGCACCTGACAGAAGATCTTGCAGGGGGGTTGAGCTCCAAGTTCTGAAAAGTATTAAAATAGGTTTCAGTTTCCGATCTTGAAAGGATATGCACACTGTCACCTATCATCACCTTCAACGTTATTGTTTTTACTGGATCATGACAAATAATGTTCAACATCTGTTTCTTTATTTTTAATATACACTTTAACATGAATACCTGATTCTTTTGTTCTTGTTTCTGTTGGACCAGAGATTCTTCTCTCTCTTTCTCTAAGCGAAGCTGTCTTGCTATTTCAAGCATTCGTTGATGGTTTTGCACTGTCTCCACCTACAGTAAATAGATAAACAGTACATATCACTGTCAGATGGTTGAGAAATAAATGAGTGCAATCGTGTGTCTCTCAAACCCACTTAGTACTTCCTTTCCATATACATTACAACTTAGAAATGATAGCAAGGCATTGGACTTAAGGACCTTAATAGCCTTGGACTACCGCCTAGGGAAATTCCCTTTAGGTCAATTAGTTATTTGATTCTTCCCCCAGATATACAGCATGTTTATCTTAATCCTTGTTTGCATTCCTAAACCAGAGTTGCAAGCCAAGGATTATGACACTGAAATATTACAGTGTTACTTCTCTTATTACCCTCTTCTTAAGACGCTCCACTCTCTTGATGAGCTGATCCTTCTCCTCTTCCATTGCAGTGATATCCTACAAAACAGCAAAAATAATGAAAATTGGCTAATCTATTTACAAAAATAATATCGTAGGACCTGGGGCAGACTCTGTTATACTAATATAAATCGAAAATTGTCTCTGCCTGTACCAGCACAACTGCAAATTCATTGATATACATTCTCACCTCCCTCAACTCCCACCATCGTTATGTAGGACAGGTTAGCTGACAGCATGTCATTCGTGTCATCTCACATTAGTGGGCACATCTAAAATATGAGCACATGGATTTCTTTGATGTAAAACATCTTACTAAAAAAAATGAAAACTTGTGTCGGCATCAAATTTTGGATGCATGTTTGTCCTTAAAATCTCCTATCAGACCTCGCACTAGACAGTTATCCAAATTCTATTTTGCATTAAATCACATAGGAAAGCTGCATTCTGCTATTTTTCCAATGAAAAATATGTTTAAAATGTTTCCATCTGGTTATAAACCATGGGTCAGGTAAGTTTCCTCACTTAACCATATTTGAGAGTGATGCTACTCCACAGATTTACACTGCTGAAGAAGAAAAACAGGTCCCATACACTTAGGTACCAAATCCCACATATGCTTATTACATATGTGCTTAAAATTTTAAACATTTAAGCAATCACACTGAAAAGCTAAGAATGTGCTTATTTTGCTGAAATTGGGCCTTAAAGAAAATATCACAATTGCTTTAGATGATCTTCAATTAATTGGGTTTTTTAAAATCTGCTTTACTTTTCAGTACTTTGGTTGATTTCCAATAATTTAAGTTCTTAAGTCACTTAGGCACCTCTGAAAAGGTTAGCCTACATGACAAAAGCAAAAGGTTTGAAACCAATGTGTGCACAGAGGGCAATACAGTGTTAATGTTAAAAATATATATATGTTACTATTGAGGTCAATTCTGTATCTTGGCAACCTTGCTCCCCAACCTGCTGCAGAAGACCCAGTTTTGGGCATGACCTTGGATCTTTTACTACCTTTGCCAAGAGAGAACTAGCCCTGTTCATAATGCAGCAGCTGCAGCATCTGTTAGTGCCGACCTGCACAGCCTAGGTACTGCAGTTGGTCTATGGGACTGAAAAAAATTAAAGGGAACTTAGACAAACCCAGCACTAAATGTTACAATTCAATGAAGATTTTTTCTTTTATTTACCCTTCTTATTTCTGCTGTGGAAAAACCAGATGCCTTCAGCTGCTCACATTCCTTATGTAGGTTTTTAAATGCTTCCATCAGTTCTTCATACTAAAAGACACAAAGAAAAGCAGACCTGCAAAGCCAGCTCTGTGTATGAGAGATTTCATAACACTATGTTGCTTTATTAGTAATACAATAGACACACAAATCCTGTGTTCATATTACTGATCTTTAAGGGAGTCTTCATATAGCAAATAATCAATTTATAAAGCAGAGACGAGTTTGGATTTATTTCACTGTATAATCTTTTACTTGACAGTGTTTTTACCTTTGCCCTAGTGGTACATATTGCTGCCATTTCCAACTCTGGCAGTTCTGACTGGCTCCTGATGGATCCAATCCATGCATCGCATCAGTAACAGTTAACATATGGCTTTTCTGAACCCTAAGTATGACTATACTGTCTGTGTTGCCCTGCCAGCCCAAGGACGGAAGGGATTGATCAGAGAATAAAAATACAGGTTTTACAAGAATCTTGATCTAAACACTTTGGGCTTAATTTTGCTAGATACTGAGCAGCAAACAAAGCACTTAAGCACCTGCTTAATTTTACATGTGGGCAGTCATTTACTGCGACTGAGGATTGAAAGCAGAGTGTCAGAACTTGCCAGAATTGAGCCCAAGGTGTCTAGCTGTTATATAATATAAATACTACCATAGTTAGATAGAAGGCAGTACACAGAGTACTAATCTAGTGAGTTGCCCACCAATGATCCTAAGCTGAGAGGCAGTGTGAAAGTCTGCGTGGGTAGAGAAAGAACAGGGGACAGAGGGAGTTGAGAAATATGGCTAGAAAATAAATTTAGATTCATCTTGGAAAAAAATATAAGCTAACACCTAAGGAAAGATAGCCCATGCAGAAACAAATACTAAATAAAGATGGAGAAAACTAAAGAGACCCAAGTGATCTCTTACTCCCTTGAAAGAGCAGTAAAATATGAATGTTCAATACAAAATGGCAATCAAAAAGGCCAGTTCTAACAGAGGCATAATATCACAGAGCAATGAAGTGATGATTCCTTGCTGTGGAACTCGGAGGAGACAATACTTAGAATACTGCTTCCATTTCTGGGCACTTCGGTATCAGGCACATACTGACAGCTGTAATGAATTCAGAGAATAGCAACAAAATGACTGATTTATAAAAGAAGAGTAAAAGATCAAAAATATGTAAACCTTGGTTAAGTGGCAAGTAAAGACAGATATGACAGGGTGCATATGGCAAGGAATTATTTACAAAGAAGTAGGAGCAGAAACACGAGTACAACTACTAGGGTAAAATTGTAGACTTTAGATACAACATGGCAATTGAATAATAAATTATAAAAGACCAATTTAAGACATTGATAATAAGGACAGCATCTATATACAGATATCAGTTAGACTGTAAAGCCATATCCCAATGCAAGTTATGGAAGCCCAGAGCTTCAGGCATGTAAAATAAACTAGACAACACCCTAGGAAAAAAAATGCTGTCAAGAAGAATCCTGCACTTGCATATGTGAATGATGATGTTACCAAAAAGGACATTTCTATGACCTATTTTCACCGAGGATCCAGAGACACCGCATACTTAACATACACACTGTGGCAAATCTTTGGCTTAAGATGCTTCTTAAGACACCTCTTTCCAATTAACGCACATTCCAGGCATGAAACTGGATCAAATGAGTTACATTTTCCTGCCGACTTACCAGCCAACACTACCACAGGGCAAAGCCACTGCTTTTTCAAGAAGCTGGGACAGGAATGATTTGCTGGACCATACTAAGGGCACAGGTTAGTCAGTCTAACTGAACTGCCAATGGCAGCTGGCCCAGAGGTACACACAACACATGAAACAGTTGATACACACAAGCAACCCAAGTAATGCCCAGGCTATCAATGCCACGGGCAAGCTCATCAAGGGCTGGCCATTTGGGTCTTGGTCTGTTTTTGCTTGGTTAATATAAACTACAACCAGTTCGAATTCCAGTGACCTGGAAACTGACAGTAAGTCCAAGGACCATGCTTAAATAACCAGGAAAACAATTAAGCAAAATAGTATATACCAGAGGTTCTCAGACTGTGGTCCACGGACCACCACTGTTCCACGAGCTCTATTCAGGTAGTCCGCAGAAAGGCTACGGAACAATCGAGAATATCTGTACTTGAAAGGTAAGTCTACTGATATTAAAATATGAGTCGTGTGCTTTGATTTGTAGAACAACAAAATTTTAAGTGGTCTGTGGAGACCCTCAGCAATTTTCAAGTGGTCCACAAAAAAAGAAAAAGTTCGAGAACCACTGGTGTATACCAAAGAAACTTGTATAAACAACAATATTTCCAAGGAGTCATGTGAAAATTGTTGACATCTCTCCACAAAAATATGATATTGCAAACCTCCACATCTGGACTCACTCAGTAAAATTCTACCTTCATCAATATTTAAAAACTCACATGGTAATGTCAAATTACATAAAAGGTGGCATATTGTTCCAGCTTCTATTTTGAACAAGTCAGCAGAGTATTATCTTAATACAGTGGTTATATTACTGTAATCCAAAAAGGAACATATGTAATGGAAAGAGCAGAGTTGGATATTTATACAAATAAGGACTGCCACACACTAAACAAACATACAGGCCACAATTTGTTTCTTTTCTGCTTTTGTTTAGTTATTTTAGATTATAAATCAGATACGGTCAGTGGTAAAAAGGGAAAAAAAAAACTTTCATAAGGCTACACAGCTTTCCTAATGCCTGATATGTATTTGGAGTTAATAATTAAAAACCTTCCAGAATGATGTGATAATGCAATTCACCATATCTGCATAAGAAAAAACTGGACAGAAATTAGATACAAGGCAAGGTAGAGGTCACCTTATAAATTAGCTGAATCAGAGAGGCATAAGCTTTCATGAGCCACAGCTCATTTCATCAGATGAGATGCTATGAAAACTCTTTTCACAGCATGTGATGAAGTGAGCAGTATCTCACAAAGGTTTAAGCCTCTCAGATTCCCTTAGTCTAAAAAAAGTGCACCTCTGCCTTGCTTTCTGCCTGACCTCAGTCTACCACGGCTTACTACCTCTCTGGAGAGAAATTAAGTAAATATGTACCTCAGATAATATAAAATCAAACACGTCTTAAATACATTTGGCTTGCTTTAAATTTGGATTTCAAACCTAGTCGGTTTGACTATTTAAAACCAACAATATTAGCCTTGGTAACTGAAGTCTTCTATTTATCCACAGGGCAGAGACTAGGACTACACATCCAACTTGCATGGAGTGGTGATCTAGAGGCAAAAAACTCTGCATGCTCATCTGAAGCAGAGAGAGATTTTTTAAAAACAAAAATAAACAAATAAAATTAATGTTCACTAATATGATTTTAAAGTCCACTTAGCAGCTATTATAAACTGGGTTTAAAACACATTAGCTGGCCAAAGTCAAATGTAAAGTCAGCTGGATGATGTTCTGAGTGAACATATTTTAAGTGTTAATCCTCATCTACACTAAATACAAAAACATGAGCCAACATAATACAAGAAAATCACATTTTGCCAGCCTACTCCATCAGCAAACCTCTGAGCTATCCATTAACCCCTTCATTAAAATTACTGTGCAGTTGGTAAATTCATCTAAAACACTACCTGTTTGTTGGTGTCAGCCACAGTATCATCCTGAAGGAACTCAATGGGCACTTCCAATTTTATTAAGAAACGTGCCAGGTAGGCTCTTTTCTTGAGTTCGTTGGTCCTCTGAAGAAGCCAGTGTAAGACTGGATGAATTACAGGCTTGCTTCCAGTAACTAAACCCTGGCGGAATGTACTCCTAAATAAAAATAATCATCATCACCACCACATATATCAGTCACCACCAAAAAGTCTCAAGCAAAAAGACACTAGTTTGGACTAAACAAGCTGATAATTTCTGTTATTCCTCCCCCACCTGCCTAATGGTTTTCTCTAATATTGTTAAAAGAAAAAAAATTATTTCATGATGCCAATTTGCTGATTATGGGCCTGATTCTGCTGCCCTTTGGGCAGGTACATCTCCCAGAGTGGGCAAAGGACAAAGACTGCAGCAATGGAGCTTGTGTTTCAGTGGTACGCTCCAGAAACTTAGAAAACATGGGAGCTGCAAACTGGTACAGCATCAGTGCAGTAGGGAATGATGGATGCCCAGTGTGGAGGGGAGGGTGATGACCCTACTAGTCATTCGGCACCCTCTACTGACTAGCCTGATAAACAGCATCAAATACAAAATACACCTGCAGAAGCAAAGGTAGCAAAACAGTGGAGCACATCACGAAGGACAAGACTGAGATTCACCCCACCCTGGCCCTTGACTACTTTGCTACCCCACACTAAATCTGGATCTGCAAGCAAATCTGTGTGCATTTCTTAGGACTTAACAGAAGAAATATCTTCAGAATATTAACTGAAGCAGTCATAGTGATGCTATGGAGTAAATTTTCAAGTGACTAGCAGTACCATTTAAAGTGTAAAATAAAATAAAACCCTATTAATTGAGATATACTGACGACTGAGTCAGAAAGTGAAATAATTTGGTATAAATCTATCATTTTCACTTTGAACAAGGGAAAGGGTATTGGCTAAGACAGAAGTGTTAATGAAATACTTGAAGTAACAAGCGAGTGCATTCCAAAACATATAAGACTTTTTACATACTGTACATCATTTCAGTGTTGCCTTGCAATACTGAACTAGACATATTTTACCATTATCTATGGTACAAACAGATACTTACAAGTCTATAATACTTCCTGGAGGCTTGTATTTAAGAATACCTAAAAGACTCAACATTCGTTTAGTCGTTTGATCTGGCATCTCCTCTCTAATGTCAACAACATGCTGAAAAATAAAAAACACCCTAAGCAAAGCACAAGAAAACTGTGTAACCATGATTAGGTCAAAGAAATTAACCACCGACATTAAAAGAATGAATCAGATCCAGTCATGACATGATAGACTCTAACATGTAACTGTCATAAGTGAGATGTTGCATACAGAATACGACTCTAAGATCTAAATTCGGGTTCTCTCTGGGCTCTTCACACGGGTATCTTTATTTCAGGTAGGTATTCTGGCTGGCCATGGGTCCTCAGAGACACAGCTGTCTGGGTTATCTTTGTTAACAGTAGGTACAGTGCTGGCAAGACAGGGTGCGTAGCAAAGCCACTGACTGCAATGATTCACAGATCACACCTTCTCATCCAAAAATGCACATAACAGACACCAAGTCTGAAGCTGGAGTTCTGCTCCACAGCTCAACACACTGGCCCTGGGGGGGAGCTATCGACTGTCAGCCCCTCTGCTTTGACGGACACAAAGGAAAGGGAGACAGCTGCAGCGCAAGGTTCATTTCCTGCTTACTTGTCATTCTCTGTACGTAAGCAAGGACCGTTCTGAATTTTGTACCGTGGATGCAAGACTTGTAAATACAAACGTTAACGATCCTATTCTGATTCCTTAAAAAAAAAAAGAAAAAAAAAAAAAAGGCAGGACCCCTGGGGGAGGGTCCAATAAATAAGCAGTATTTGCTCAAGTAGATAAATACATCAAATAGAATAGTAGCTCCGTTACGGTTAGCACTGGTGACATACGTCCAGGAAATACATGCCATACAAGACACAAAACATACACAGAAAGAGACAAAACGACGTTGCTGCTCTGACTCCATTTGAGAGCAGGTTGCCAAAGACCCAGGGCTCGAGCACGTTCGATGCCACCCTTACCTTCGGGTCAATTTCCCCCAAGACGTCATTGAGCAGCTGCAAGAGCTGCATCGACTCCAACGAATCAAACGTGATTAAATTATAGTTCTTCTTAAAAGGCTCCTGATTGAGCTTCTCAACGATGAATTTGAGTTGATCGCTCATGGCCGAGTCCTGGGGAACGAATCTGTGGGAGAGAATCAGGGAAATGAGCTGCTCGGGACGCCACGCAGACACCCCTGCAGCCCCAGGCCCGGGCGTCCTCTCCGGGCGCTGGGGGACTCCGACATCGCCCCCAGCCCAACCCCCGCCGCAACCCACGTCGGCCCGGTCCAGACCGGCTACCGCCTAAATCCCACCTCAGACGACTGCGAGCCCTGACACAACGCACACGTCACGCCCGAACCCCGTCCTGCTGCTATCACCCCCCACCAATCTGAGCGGAGGGGAAATCCCTCCCTGACCCCGACAGGACCCTCCAGCCAGGAGCTTCGGTCCCAGCAGGGGCATTGGTATAGCCCATGCCTCATCCCCTGACACATGGAGCATGGGGGGGGTTAAACCCTCTGACACATGGAGCATAAGCGGGGGGGGTTAAACCCCCTGACATAAGTAGCGACACGAAGGCCCCGCGCGGGGGTCGCGGCCCGGCCCGGCCGCCCCCGCGCCGTTACCTGAGCCCCCGCCACAGGCCGCCCCCACTCGACGCCCGCTTCACTTAGTTACCGGGCCCTTGGTAACGGTTGCTACGCCGGAGCGGCACCGTCACTTCCGGTCACGCGGCGCCCGTTGGTGGCAGGAAGGGCGCATGCGCAGTGCGGGGTTGGGGTGGCGGGAAAAGGGCCTGAGGGCGGGGCACGTGGGGCTTGTCCTGGGAGAGTGTAGATCCTACTACACGTGCCCCTCTGCTGGGAAGCAAAGCCGAGGTTGGAGCTGCGTGTGCCGCAGCCGGAAAGGGGGGAAATACCCAGTGGTGGTTAGCAAAACTGCAAGGATACGCTGTCAGCACCGGTTACTCAATCAAATGGCGTTGCTCTCTGTTCAGAAGCATGTCTTCCTTTGCAGGATTGCTCAGGAAGGGCACTGTGGTACTTGAAAGCAAGGCTGCGTCCTTCCCAACCGCGCGGTTGGCCTCCTAAAAGACCACGTTCGCAACAATCCTCGCCTCACGTTTTTCCTGGGCCGTTGGGGCTGCAGCATCGCCCCAAAGCAGATTGATACGTGCGTCCAATTAAGATTTTCTGGCAATCTGCAGTGTGAAAACATTTCAGACGAGCTGGCTTGCTCTCTGCTAATTAAGTAAATGATTGTCGTTGTTCTTTGAAACTGAAAATTGGACAGATAGGACATGCGGATGGCAATATTGTTCCAAGTCTTTATCAGATCTGAACAACAAGCTAATTTCTCCAATTTAGGTTGGCACATCTGCTATCAATGCAACTCACAAGACCTAAAATCTGTTCCTAGCTCCTAAGCAAACGCAGGAGCTCATATCATTTCAAACAGGGGGGGAAAAAATGGATGAATTGACATTTGTGCATAAAACTGATCCGTCCAGTCCTTGATTTTCTAGGTGCAGATCATTCAGAATCCATCAATTCAACCCAGATCGGTTTCAGACCCTCTGCGTTGTAGTTAGCCTCTTGGATTGTTTTTGTATCACGTGCAGGTCCACGTACGATGGATTAAAATATGCACCGACTCACCCAGATTCAAGCCAATTGAGAGGAGCAGCTTGTGTAAAATTCGACTCGGTAATTAGAAATCATAAATATAATATTTGTATTTCTATCGGCGGTGTTTATCTTGGGTTAACTCAAAGCACTTCCAAAATATGAATCAATCCACCTCACAACAAGCCTGCAGGGTACCATGATTGTCTTCATTTTTAAGTGCGGAAACTGAGGCACGCAGAGGTTGAAGAAATTCTTCCGGACATGATGCTTGAGCTGTAAAAACGAGAGTATGCTCCATTTCTGCCTGTGCTCTTTATGCTGACCTGTAAGGATCACATCTACCTAGAAGTTGCGGAAAGACCTAAATTCCTTTCATATGTTTTCCTGGTGTCTTTTTAGTCCTCTTTTCTTCGAGTGTGCCGAGTATCCAGACTGCACAGGGAGAGAAAGGGAGGGAGTGACATTCTGCAGTGTTGGTTCTGGCCCCAGGACACTGCTCTTGCAGCATGTAGGGACCCTCGAGGAGCCCACAGAACTGGGGGGAAATGTCAGTGCTGGACCACTTTGGGCTGATACAAGCAGCCCTCTGCTTTGTCCCTTCACAAGTCCGGAGATGGCACAGGGGTTGATAGTGCTACAATGCAAGGACTTGGGGCTACAGCATAGCCAGGAGGAAGCTGCCTTTGGGGTTCTTCTGTCTTGCACCACAGACTGTTTTGGCTCCCCACGTGGTCCAGATATCCACCCTAATAGAAGCCTTTAGGGCTGGATCACTCCAGCTGTGACTGAGGAAGTGGAAGAGATGCCTAAGACAGACCAAAGAAACCTAGTCAGATTCAGCATGCTGCTGCTAGCTCCTTCCTGCAAGCCCTGCCATCAGTCCAGGGCAGGTTTTGGATCCCACTGCACTTTCCAACTAGGAGAGAGACGGGATGTGTCGGGGATTCCTGAGGCTTATGCATCTTCATGGGCATTTCTTCCAGTGGTCTCAAGCCGTGTACACATGCAACCCAAAGTAACCAGAGAACAATCTTCTGTTCCATCATCTGTCTGGATTCAATGTCTGCAGGTCAAAACCATCCCCACAGCCTAGAAAAATAAAACCTTGGCTCTATCTCCAGGTTTCTCGGTCACAGCGGAGGCTGTGGAGATTCACAGACAGGACAAGGATGCTGCTTCCTTCCTGTCCCAAGGAGAGGTGCTGCCACAGGCAAATGGGAAGTGTGCCAAGGAGATGAGGTGGGATCCCACAAAACCTCCAGCTGGTGCTTCCGATATGCAGCCCCACGGGTACATCCCATGTCTCAGGATAGTTGTGATGGATGGCACTGCAGGGATTTGAACAAGGTTTCCTAATGGCATTACAATGCTATCAATGATGTATTCACTCCTCAGTTTCTTATTCAGGTGATACTTCCATGGGGCTAAACAGGATGGTACTTAGTATGGTTATTGAGAAAGAGTTATAGTGATGGCAGCTTCCAGAGGCCAGAAACAGGAGAGACCTGGCCTGAATTTTTTTTACCCAAAGCCCCATAAATGTGCAGATTTAGCCTTCCCAAGGCCTGACAAATGCTGCTGAACGTATGACTGCCTTGTGAGTTTGCAAGGGGAACTCAAGCATGGAAGCCAGCAAATCAGAGTGGAAAGAAACCTGAGCAAATAGAAATCATGCTTGACCGACAAAGAGAGATCACCTTATATGGGAACATCCCTGGGCAAGAAGATGAATGCTGCTGGACTGGTTCCTGAGGTCAGATCCCAAACAGATGGAAGAAGTTAATGTGAAAATGAGTGTGTTTAGGAAGAGAAGGTGACACTTTGAAGAGCATCTCTGCTTGCAGTATGGGATCCAAGTCCTGTTGTTCTTCCTTTTTATTAGGAATAAGGGGATATGTGCACTTAGAGATGACCGAGTTATATTAAAATCCATTTGTGTGGGGCCATTCTGGCACTCAGATGCATCACAGATCTCACTTTGGCTTGTCCCAATGAGAACTGTTATCATTATGATTTCCTCCAAATTTCTTGACGTGGTATTAATTTTCTCCACATCAAATAAGCCATAGCTCTAAAGACCTCAATCAGCAGTGGGCCACAGACAATGTACCCTGAAGCCAATGAGAACTGTGTTTACTTATCCCTGTCAGACAGCAATTTCTCCCTTTGTACAAGAGGATTATAAATCAGCTCTCAAGGAACACTGTCAACTTATTAAACACATTTATTTCTGCAATTCTTGTGCTGACCACTGTCACAGATTGCACAGTAGATGATTGTAAGCCAAAAGAGATTAGAGAAGAAAATATTTTTCCCTGCTTGGTTGAGTTCGTTTGCTTTGTGCATGTGTAGCTTTGGCAGTTTTATTTTGGGTTTGTATGTAGATGCGTGAGGATCTTTTGCAATGTAACAGGAGACAGAGAGGAATTTCTCTCTGCCCTGAATCTGAAGGTATCTGACTTGGCGTAACTCACCTGACCTGCCCTGGATCTTGGTCAGCCATGTACACCTGTGCAGAGCAGGCAAAAAGCACTGATACCCAGTCTGCTTGCATTTTATACAAACGTGGAGAGGTTCAAGGTGGAGATCAACTGGGAATCAGGCCTCAATAGGTCCAGGAAAAGGTGAATGCTACACCAGCATAATCCTCTTAAACTCATCTTTGTTTCAAGGTAATTTGCATCATCACAGACCCTGGCAGGAGGTGAGAGGCTTCATACCATCTATGAACTGACTGCCCAGAGGAGCTTTCCACCTACTGACTCCTCTGTGAAATCCTCTGAAATATGAACTTTCATATCTACCTAGGAGAATTTTTACAGTCTTTTCTCCAATGCCTCACAAAGGCTGTCTGTGCCTGAAAGTTTGCAATCAAAGATTTTTGTTGCAAAAAAATCATGTTGGCCTAATAAAAGATATCATGTCTACTACGAGTCCTGATTGCCTTCCCCTCTAGACCAATATAGCTACAACCTGGATACTAGACTCATCTCTGCATTTAATTCAACATGTCAAACTGTGTGTGCTGCTAGCCTTTGTAGGTCCTTAACAGCAATGCAAACTGACTCCAATGGATTAGGCCACTGCACACTGAGGCCCTGGGATGGATGCCATCCTTTGGCCACATGAGGCTTGTGTGATGATATAGGACTGCCCTCTCCTGGAGAACAAGAGTGTCACTATGCATAGCACTGGGCTCAGCATCTGATGGCCCTGCAAATGCTCGGGTATTTTTCTGTCTAGTAGCAAACTCAGGCAGTGGCAAAACTCACTCTGCTATGAGGGAGCTCATTCTTTTCCTTTCTCTTCTCTTCCCTCATGCACCTTTCTGTCAGCGGGATCACACAGAAGCAGAGCAATTGAAGTGTGGTGGCATGTGGAGGTGGCACGACTGAGTGGAGATGGTGACGTAGGTCCCATGGCAGTTCAATGCGAACCGTTCTGTTGGTCGGAAGATGAAACGGGTAAATGATTCATCTCTCTGTCTCCCTCGCCTGTTCTCCCTGGCCCTGGGGGCAGAAAAGTGAGAAGATGTTGTGGAAATTAAACCCTGCTCCTGCACTCCCTGATGGCCACTAGAAAACTCATGTTGATTTTGTGCTGCAGAATCAGGTCCTTTGGGCACATTCAAAGCTGATGCAGCGTGACAAGGTGAGATGCTAAGTTGTATCATCTCTCTTTGAAATTAGGAACAAGCTGCAAGCATTCATCAGTCCTCCGCAGCACTTGGCAGATCGTGAGCTTTCAGCCCATGTTCAACACCTTCCGATTAGATCAGTAGGAGTCAAGTTGTCCAATGGACATTGAGAAGGATACAAGTCTGTTTACCGCTGATAACTTAGCAGGACGCCAAATCTTGGATTTTCCCTCATCAGGACAATGGTATGAATAGCCAGGCTGTTTGGAGGACTTGCTAAGAGTATTAATGCATCTGACATTTAGATTTGTCATTTCTATAAAACATCTGAATAGCCCAAATTTGTGATGTCCAATCAAAAGGAATGCCAGAAATGTTGCTCCTCTGAAAACTGTCTTTGTCTGCAAGTGGGTGGGTGGCTGTGAAACACTGGAATTTTTGTCAAATTTGGGTCAGATTCACCTCTAGTCTAATGTAATCGGCTTTACTAAAGATGCACGAGAAATGAACATGGCCTTTTGTCTTTGGTCTGTACGTAAGTAAAGCATCTGGCATGCTAACCTCACATTCCCTTTGTATGTATTTATTTACTTATTTATTTTTTGATTAATTAGCGACAAAAGAATGATTTCTTTCTTAAAAGAACGTATCACATTTATACTAGCTTCCGTGCTAATGTAAGTGGTTTTCTTGCTGCGCCTTTAAGGGGTGCGTCCTATGAAAGTGGGATGGTAAGGGTGGGAAAAAAGCAGAATCAAGTGGTTCTTGAGAGCACAGACTACTAAGGAAGTTGTAACAATGGCTGTGTTCTGCAGCCTGAATGATCTTTGTGAATATGAAACGTCTAAAACTGTCCGTTTTCAGAGTGGCTACCTTGGAAGTATTAAATGGATCATCCATATAATAGTTTTATTATACGTTTGGTAAGTTAAGAACGATGAGATGTTGCACTGTACGTGAGCAGGCGTGTTTATTATGTGGGTGGTTGTCTGATCGGTTATAACTCGGCTCAGCAAGTACATGGATATCTTGAGCTCTGTGCTACACAAACAACAGAAATCAATGTTATAGCTTTTCTTTAAAGGGTGAAATAAAGTGTTGCACAGCAGCCATGCGGACAGTGACCAGCGTCTGGATAGCACAGAAAATTATCTGCACAGTACAGATTTTACTGTAAACCTCCTAGTAAGGAAGTGTTTGAATGTGGTTTCAGTTTCCAGTGTTGATGACTGCTTTCAGTGATCGCGTTTGCGGATAACGTCTTCAGATGTTCATAAACGAGATTTCATTCCTACACAAGGGGGACAAGCTATCGCATAGAAAACTAATTGCAAACTTACTGGAAGTCAGGAAGTTTTGTTGTCTAATTAAGACACCATTTCTGTCTAGTTGTTTAGAGCTGTGTTTTCCCAGCCGGACGACACCAGTGTGACTTCTTTAAATCACTCCTCTCAAAGGCACGACATAAAAATGCCTTGTAGGAACTATTCTAAAATAAACACCGGGTTTTTACAGTTGCTTTGCACTTAAGTATTTTAGATATTATTTTTCACTCCCAGGTTGGTTATTTTTTAACTGAAATGATGACGACGCTATCATCTAAAATAGAAAACCGTTTTTTGAAAGCAACCTTTTGTACACGATATTACATGCACAGTAGCTGTTACAAGTCTCAGTACTTTTATAAGTTTGGTACATCATGGGCTGCAGAAGCAATGCATACCAATCGCTTTTAATTGGTCCCCATCAACTTTAAAAAGTATTGTTTCACTGGGGAAAAATAAGTGTGTGATAACATTTCTGTTTATAAAAGCTTTTCACATTTAAATACTGGCCTGAATTTAATGTATGATGTCCCTTTAATGATAACAGTAACATATGGGAACACTGGGTTTGCCTTTACAAAGAACCCTTTGAAAATGAGATTTTAACAAATGAAGATGACAGTGGTCTATAGAGGCTTGTGAGCTACAATAGTTATTGCTGTTCATGAGGCTCTGATTTCATGCACTTTGCCAAAGGGGGTTGCAGAGAAAGCCTATTTCTCCATCTTATAACAAATTTAACAGGTACCTAGGAGTGTCTTAACTAAACAGCCTGAGACAGGGATCACTGGAGTTGGCCGCTTTGAAAGATGAAAAGGTTGAATAGTAACAGTTTTCTTCCAAAACAGAACCTGCTGGGACCTCAGTTAGAGCATAACCCATTTATAACAGAGGCTGCAGGGTTTAAATTCATAGAGACACCTCTGCGTTGAAGAGAGTCAGCTCTTGAAGGGTGAAGTCAAGTACCACAGCAATTGGGAGTGGGGGGAAATTTAATTTGACTAGCACACGACTAGATGATGTTTAGGATAGGAAGTAATGAAGAAGGACCAGATCAGTAGTCACCCATGTCAAAGTAATTCTATAAAAGACAAGGAGATTGCCAAGTGTAAGCAAGGGAAGATTTTGGCCTGACAAATCACGATGATACAGTCTCCAGTTACTTTCAAAGGTTCAGTTGACTTTTAACTTCCATTGCGCATTTACTAACCGTGATGCTAAGGGCGGTCTGCCATTTCATTGTCGTGGGGTCATTTGTCCTTTCTGTTTTGTCTGGTTAGTTTTGCACTTGTGACTAATCGACTCTATCAGGGAAAGGAGTCTGTGATCAGCTCAGTTCATACCAAAGTGAAAGGAGTGTCCCAGGCTGGCTCCAGAATCTGGGACACGGCAGAGTATACCATTCCCATGCAGGTAAGTCTCTCCTTAAAGTCAGTGCAATGGGTGGCAGGTGCTGTTGCTTTAGTGCTAGGTGTCTTTAAAGACCACAAGAAACATAATGTTAAAAGAAATCATTCTCTTGTATGGGTTAAGAAACCTTCTGTTTCTGTCATGATCAATTTATGACTATAACAGCAGCAGCTCTAGGAACAAATTAATTCCAAGTATAACTCTACTGAGTTTAATAGAGTTACTCCTGGTTTACATGGAGATATATGGGGGAAAAAATCCGGTTCCTCCAATGTGGTACACACTGGTGTTCAATGGAGTGATTTCCTTTTGACATCAGCGTGAGTGAGATCTGAACGAGCCCCACTGTCTTTACAGGAGTCACTCTGAGTTAACACAGGAGTGGCCACAATCAGGATTCGGTATACGATATTTAATTTAGACTATTTTCCCCCTCCTGTCTCTCTGCATAGGGAAGAGACACTTTCTTCGTGATAACCAACATCATTACCACAGAAAAACAGACTCAGCGCGTTTGTCCGGAGGTAACTGCATTTTATACGTGGCTCATCACCTGCGTACCGTAGCGTTCTTTGGCACGAGTGTTCATAGCAGTTTTCCACAAGCAAACGTTGTTTTGCCTTCCTTTGCTACTTTATCTTACTGGATAACATGCCACAACTAGTTTAATTACTCTCCTTTTTTATTCCTCCACCCTATGTTTCCCAATGAATCAGCCAGCAGTTAGTTTTGTGCATGGCACCAAAGACCCTGCAGCCAAAACTGTGCTAGTGCCTCACTAAGGCTTATGTTCCCAGCTGGCTTCACTGCAGGTGGAGACTATAATGTAGAGGAGCAGGAGAGTTAAACAAGTCACTGCTTCTCTGCAGCGATCTGCTGTTATTCTAAATGTGCTCATGTCTCCGTGGGCATGGAGAGGCAAACCGATGATATCAGTTTATTGTGGGGGGAGGGGGAAATATTTATAAATAACTGTCTTTTATGTTGATTTTTTTTTCAGTACCCTATTGCCAAATATGTCTGCTCTTCAGACAAACACTGTGTACAAGGGCGTACAGATTCCCTGAGCAACGGTACGTGGGTCCCATCTTCAGATAGAAACTCATTTCTGGCTTCCCTCTTCTGCTGCACTGCTGATAGTTGCAGCTGCACGAGACCTTGTTTCTACCGACAGAACGGTGGTGCAGCTCTGGTAAAATGCTAACGGGTACCTAACACATGGCTTCATCATCAAAATAGGAGTTCTTATGGACATTGAATCAGCCTTACTGATACAATGCAGTATTGTTTTCAGCCTGGCAGAGGAACAATCATTTTGGGCATGTCTGTACCGCTCTAGTTAAGCTGGGCAGCAGTGTGCTATAGCTCTGCGCACAACCCTCCAAAGAGGTGGTAGTTGGGTGCCTCAGGACAGCGCTGTGGGTGGGCTGATCAACACTGTCTTGCAGAACGATAGCACCACGTGAACACAGCTACATTAGTTCTGGCTCAGGAGCCAGCATGTGCCAAGTGGCATGGCATGTAGCAGAAAAGTGCTGCCTGGCACGATAATGCTTGAAGAGTTTGCAACTGAAGAGCCAAACTGTTCTGAGATAGGGGGGGACTTCCATTGGGGAAGGTGTGCACGCACAATTCCCAAAGATGTGACTGGCACATGCAAGGGTAAGGAAGGAGGTGTGAAAGTATGGGTTTGGGAGCCAGAGACAAACAGAACTACAAGGGGAGAAGTGATGTGAAATCTGTATCTGCTCATCCAGATGACTATCCTCTGGAGAGCTCATTGGGTCTCCTTAGCAAAAGGGGGTGCGGAGGAAAGAGGTAGAGGGAGCAGAGAAAGATGAAGTGGTGAAGATGTCTCACACCATTTAAAGAGAGCCCATGCTTGCAGTCTACTCCGTGGTGTAACTTCCACTGAAATTGGTGACAGTTCTTTAGAGTGATCCAAGGACTGAGTTGTAATTAAATGCTGTAATGCCCAAGACATCTATCAAATGGTTGGCTAATTCTTAGGATTGGAGAGATGTCAGTGTCCTGCATCAGGCCTGATTAGCTAAGTGACATTGTCCAGATGGCACAATACTTCTTAATCTCTCTTCACTGGTTGAGTGAGTTGCCAAGCAATATCCTGCTGAAAGCATGATGGGAGTGAAGTTCTGCACCAAGTAGGTTATTCTTGCTCTATTACGCTCGCACAGTTGATTTAAGCCTTTGAAGTGTTGCTGCTTTTCTGTTGCAGGAAGTTGCTTTAATAAGTGCATGGACTAACAATACATGCAACAGTGACAAGGTCAAAGGGATGTCTTAATCATTGATTAGGTGTGGCAGAAGTCTAGAGAGCCCTTCCTATATCTATTTCACTGCAAGAGAGCTGCACGAATGGAAAGCTATATTCTGATTTAAGCTCCCTGACTGCAGCCAGTGATCTGTTAGTACTTTGAGACCGTCTTGTAAAGGGCAGACTCAAGCCTCACATGTCAATTCAACAACTCCTTTTCCCCTTCCGTACAGGAATTCAGACAGGAAAGTGTGTACAGTATAATGCAACTATTAAGACCTGTGAAGTCTCTGCCTGGTGCCCTGTGGAATCAGTAAAAGGTGCCCCAACGTAAGTAAGAGGCGTATTGCCTTTTTATTTAGTAATTAAGGGTATGATCCTGCAAAGCAGTGGGAGCTGAGGTTTCTCAGCCCCTCCTAGTGGGCCACTGGAAATGCACCTTGTAAAACAGCAGTTTCCTTTCTAGCCCTTATTATCATTGTTAGAAATGACTGATAGTTATCTTTTAACATCTTCTCTTTCATAAAAGACAGTTCTATAAATCATTATTTTGGTAGCGGCATTTTGATAATTTAAGGAAAAACACAATATGGGTCTCATTAGTAGTATAAGTGGGAAATTCTTTTAAATGCTGACTGTGTAACAGTGTCCCAGGGGAAGCAGTAAAATGCCCTAGTGTTGGTAATGTAAAATTTGACAAAACTCAAAAAAATATACCGGAGAAAAGAACTCTTCCTTGAGCCCAGAATTAGACTATAAATGGGACCTTTTATTTTAATTGTTTCCCCATCTCTATCTGCTCTGATCCCACAATTATAAAATATTTCAGATTCAAAAGTTCCACTTAAACGTGAAGTTACTTATCTGTATCAGAAAAAGTAAATAAATTAATGAATTAATAAGAAAGAGGAGCACTCTACTTAAGATCTAAGGATATATTATTCCATTAGTCCCTGACAAGTAGCAGCATTTGACGTACGTACACAAGAAACTAGTTCAATCATCTGTTCTATTAAACTTGACCTCACTGCTGGATATACAGGACAAATTCCCTGCATGTGAGAACTGGTGCAGCTCCTTTGACTTAAATGGAGCTGTGCCAATTTAAAGCACAATATAATTTTGTTCCTGTGAGCAGATGGTCTGTTTCTGCAAGCCTGGAAGGAGGAATACTACAGGCAAAAATCTATGCAGACTTTTCTTTCAGGGTAAGCACAACAGCATTGTTCAAAAAGGGTTCCTTTTTTCACCTGACCCAGGATCTCCTGCCGGACCCACAGAGGCCTTTGTCCCCTGTACATGTACCCTTGCTATAAAGCCTTCCATCACAATATATGATTTTTCCTACAGCTCGTCCTTCAGCTGAGCTCTTTCAGCTCTTATAGGAATTGCCTGACACACCCTGCCCAATACAAATTAAAGGTCATGGTCAAGGATAATGCAACCTAAGGTGGCCCCTAGGTCTAGACTGGTCAAGGCATACCAGTTTCTGTAGCCAAAAATGCGTAGAAGTGACCGGGCTGGCACCACTGGTTGCTGCTCCTGCATGGCAAGATTTGCTGTGGCAGTCTACTCTTGTTATCAGGGTAGTATCTAGGCATCCCGATCAGAATCCAGCCCCATAATGTACAAGCAAATATACAAGCAAATGTGAGAAGATACTGCTTTCCCCAAAGACACAACAGTTGCAGTTATGAAAGCCAGGTATTCCATTCCCAGTCCCCCAAGCCATCCAACTCCTGGGTCTACCACTCATTATTTTCAGTGTCATATTCCTCCTACTGATAATTTTCCAGGTAATAGTAAAATAGTGTGGCATAAATGGAACTATTTAACTCCAGGAATATAGCTGGTTTAATAGCTTGCATTACAAATTTATAAATATGTTCTTCTCTTAGGCCTGCCCTTCTAAGGAGTGCTGAAAACTTCACAGTACTAATAAAGAACAACATCCACTTTCCAAAATTTAATTATACTGCGTAAGTAAAAACGTTACTTCATCACTTCTGGAGAAGCAGTTCTCCCAAAAAGGATTACATAAAAATGGCTTGTCTAACTCAACAGATCTGTATATTCAGGGGTGAATGTACCTGGCAGATAAAATGATTATTTTTACTGTTTTTTACTATTGTTAATTCTTCAGAAGCCAACACAGTTTTAGAAGGGTGAGACTGACTCGATTTCCTCTCATGCATCGGCAACAGGCTTGCTTGTAAATTCTCATGGATTATGCCTCAGTAAAACCCCTGAAGGGTTAGGATCATAAGTATCATTAGGACATAATACATCTGAGTTGCAAAGTCTTGCTGGTGGTAATGCCCAATGAGTCAAGGAACCAGCTCAGCTCTCAGGCCCCCATTGGTGTCTGTAGAGCTGGTAGCTACAAGAAAAGAAAGCCTCAATTCACTTGTAAATTGAGTGAACATAGCTGCATTTATAGATGCTTTTCAGAGAAGAACTTTAATTTACCCTTTCAAATATTTTTTTGTTCTCTGCAGAAATAATATTTTACCAAAATTCAATATTACATGCACATTCAACAAGATTACTGCACCCACCTGTCCCATTTTCCGGCTGGGAGATATTCTCCAAACAACAGGAGAGAATTTTTCAGACATGGCAGTTCAGGTTTGAGGCACTCTTTTGGTTTCATGATCACTGCTAGAATTCCTCTGTACTATTGCTCTTTCATTTCCTCATTAATATATTGCATTACTTCTCATAACAGACTTGTTCCAGTTAGAGCGTGATCCAGCAAGGTTCAGAGTGCCCCAACTATCCCTGGAATAAGTGAAACTTGAGAATGCTCAGTGTCTTCCAGGATTAGACCTACAGTGATTGAACTGTAATTACCGATTTGTATGACCGTAGCACGCAGCTGTAGACCAGAACCTCATAGCATTGAGCAATCGACAACACAGAGCGACATGTTGTGGTCCTTAATTAAACAGTCTTCCTAAGTCAAAAGCAGGGATTCCTATTTTTTTTCTCACTTCTGCTAAAGGGCACCCTCTCAGTAATGTCTTAGGGAGAAAGAACCTACCAAAAGCTCATCTGGAAATAGTGCCTTATATCCTGGCCTGTGCTTTTCCACCAAGTCTTATTTTATGAATGTCCCAAGCACAGCACATGTAACAAACTAGCCAGCTGAGTCTCACAACCCATCTCTAAGGTCAGTATTTACAGAAGGGTGAAAGGGAGTTATGGAGAAATAAAGGGAGTTGCACAGAACCAACAACCAAACCCCCGTCTACTGGGTTCCAGTGTCCAGACAGGCTGCAAGTCCATCAAAACTTCAGTGTTCAGGTACAGATATGCATTTGGGATTCCTGTCAGAATGCATAAAGTTTGAGCTGAGCTGTCTTTAGCTTACCTGAATCAAACCTTGGTCAGAGAGGGTGAGCTAAGTCAGGATTTTGTTTTTAATTATAGGATGAGAAGAAAAAACCCACAAAAAACCAGGAGATGCCTCCAGAACTAGGGTGAACTCTAGGTTCTAGCATGCAGGAATTCGGAGTCATGTACAAGCAGCCTTGACTTGATGTGGAAATGCATTTACACTTGCACTACATCTGTGGGTGTGATCCTGCCATTGGGACACCCTCAGATCTCTTTTTACTTCACTAGGAGATTGGGGCACAGAGCAATGGCAGAATGGGACACTGCTCAGTCTTTTACACGTGTTCTTAAGCATGCTGTAGATAGAGCTCATTTCCTTTTTGTGGTTGCAGGGTGGAATCATGGGTATTGAGATTAACTGGGACTGTAACCTGGACAAATGGTTCCACCGCTGCAGTCCAAAGTACAGCTTTCGTCGCCTCGATGACAAAACCACCAAAGACTACCCTGGTTACAACTTCAGGTAAAAGACGGGCATTCACTGTCATACCTAGCCAGCAGCATGCTCTCTATCTCGGCCGTTTGAAAACTTTGCTGAAAAAACCCCCCCAGTCCCCAGCAGTGTGGTCAATTCAGACTATGAAGCATGGACAGGCTGCTCGGAGGAAACCTGCAGACTGCCAGCTTGCACTGCGACTGGCCAGCACTGTGCTAATCGGCATGGACAAAGGGAAAAAAAGTCACCCACCCAATTCCCCTCCTCTTCCCTCCAAAAGAAAGATTTAACATCAAAAAGATGCGTAATCTGAAAAAGTAGGGCAGGGAAGGTTAATGGGCAACAGGGAGCTTGATTAAATCCTAATAGAAAATTGGCCCAAAAGAGTCTGACAAAGCTAATTAGAAGCAGGGGGTGGGGGAGAGATTGCAAAACATCCATCTCATTTCTCAGCTTTGGGTCACGGTTATTTTCTAAGCATGTGTACAGTCTCCAACGAAGAAGCTAAATTTTTTGTGCCAAAAATAACTCAGCCAGGGTTCGGTTTCAGCTAGGTTATGGGGCCAAATGTTATTCTTACTTAAACAAGCATAAATCTGGAATAATTCCACTGACTTCTCTGGACCCCCGCAAGGTTTGTGCTGGTGGAGGTGCAGCAGGTCCCGAGTGTCCCAGGGTCCTGTGGTCAGCCCTTGCCTGCCCTTGCTTGATGTGGCAGGCAAGAAACAACAGGGCATGTGGGACAGCTTTGATGGTAATGATTAAGGAACAGTTCCTCAGTTCAGTCAAAATGGACAAACTTAGGTACCTTTCCCTCTGTGTTCGTATCAGTGGGCCATCCCTGCTCAGGCTTGTACATGGTGTGCAATTAGAGGACCCTGCCCATTCCCCAGCTTTGCAGGCTGGCTAGCCCCCAGCATAACCCACCAGCCACGGGCTGGCTAGGTCCAAAACAACCCACAAATAATGAGCAGACTACATGCTTGCTCAGTGCTGGGGCTTCCCCTGGCTCCAGCCCTCCTGGGCCTATCCAGTTAAACAGTCTCAGGTCCAGTCACCACACAGCTCTGTTCCAGGTGCTTCTTTCCCTAGCAGTGCCAGGGCCTGACTGGCCAGCTCTCCTCACTTCATGTATCCCTGGGGGCTGCCCTGTCCAGCCTGCAAGCAGCCCACCTTAAAGATGAGTGTCCCTTTTCCCACTCTGACCCTTGTGCTCTCTCTCACTCTCTAGTAATGGAGTTAGGGTCTCCCGGTACAAACCTGGCTCCAAAAGTCTCTCTTTTCTTCTGAACGTGTGAAGCTATCAAGCAGACTGGAGAATTCCCTTGCATGGGGAAGCTTCACACATGTAAACACACTGACAGAGATGTGACTTGGGCAAGCGAGGGTAGCACGACTGCAGTGGTACAACCATGTTCTCTACCTAGTGGAATCTAATGGCAATGAGTAAACTCAAAAAGCAGTAATCATTTGCCTTCCTGAGTAGGTTTGGGGATCTGTAGGTCTTTATGAGAAGCGTGGGAGCTTTCATCACAGTGGAGAGAGGGTATGGGGGAGGATCTTAGGGGGAACGTGTAGCAGGGACTTCAGAACCAGGATAAAACAGTTGTTTCCTGAGGCATGGACTGTGCGTGTTGTTCTGCGTGGGTTATCTCCTGGGCCTGGGCAGCCTACTTCTTCCTGCTGCTCTACACCAATGTGGAACCCCACAGATTGAATAGGATCAGGACTTACTTCCATGTGCAAAGTGTGTGAGGTGCAGCTGCTTCATCTGACCATCCATGAAGCTGTTAATACATCCAACTGGAGCACTAAGCTGCTGCAAGGAAGGAACTTTCTGTGGCATTTTGAGCCAACGTTACTTCATCATCCTCCAGAGATAGCAAGTAGCATGGGGAAGAACTGCTCAATCCAGAAGATGCTGGTACAGCCTCAAAATAGAATCGCACCGAGCTGCAGGCATCAGAGGCTCAGCCAAGCCCTGGCCAGTAAAACATGCGTCAGCCGTGGATTGCAGAAAATGAAAGAACATTTCATGTCTGCCCAGCAAGGAAAATTAAAGCCCGTTATGCTGCATATTGCTGAGTGACTAACTGCAAAGTAGATCCTAGCGAAAGGAAAGCTGATGAATGCAAGAGAAGGGGGAAGGCAGATTACAAGCACTTCAGTGCTGTGCAGAATTCAGCTCACAAGAGCAATGCCTCGGGGTGGGAGCAAAAGCTGGCTGAGGCTGGTTTGTTAGGGTCAAGGTGTTAAAGTACATCTCGGAAAGCTTAAGGAAACTTTGTCTTTAGTCACTCTGAATAGGACTGCGAGTTCTTGGCACCCACCATGTCAGGAAGTTAAAGGCATGCAGCACCTTTCCGAATGGGGCTGAGGCTCCTGGCAAGAAACTGCTCTCCTGCTTGGGGCTGTGCATAGGATGCCTGCCAATGGATTTGGGAGTATCTAAAGTCCCGGGGTGATGGATCTGGGACAGAGGATGCTCACCAGTTGTAGCGGCCTGCACGGTGTTTGGAACGGTTGAGTTCTGCCTGCTCGATCAATATGGTTTTCTGGATGATTGAATCCTTCTGAATCGATAGGATTTGGAACTGATTTGGCTGATTTGACCTGGAACATGAAACATATTATTAAAAAAATGCTCCCTGGAGTCCAGTGCTTGAACAGTCAAGAGGTTTGGGGGCCTGACTTGGGCCAAGCCCACTAGTCCTGCCTCACATGTTGCTCAGTCTTAAGCTCACCCTGACATAAGGGTAGGTTGCCTTCTCCTGAGGGACAATCCAGGAGATTGTTTCCACAGTTTCCCTCAGGAAACAGGCCACAGGGCCCACCCTATAGATACCCAGGGCATCCGTACAAGGCCCTGCACCTCTGTGCCTGCTCCGCCCCCAGCAGCCCCCACCTGGACTTCCTAACATGGGGCCTCCCATCACCGGTACCTGCCCTTGGGTACCGCTCTTGGCAGAGGATCCATAGCACAAACCGGAAGCAGGAGTTGCAGGGAGATAACAGACCCTGGGCTTGTACTCCCTCTCTTCTGGGAACTCCCTTATCCTGAGCTGATTCCCTCCCCTTCCAGTGATCCCAAACTCCTGGTACCTTCCCTGGGATCCCTTTAGAGCACAGCCTCCCTTGCAGAGAGCTATTCCCCATCTCTCTACCTTGCCTGGGCTTTGGTGCCAGACCTGCCCAGAGTGCCAGGCTGGCCGAGGACCCACCACAGGGCTTCCCTCAAACTGCCCAGATGTTCACTTGCTGTTTTTCAGGTTTGCAAAGTACTTCAAGGACGCCAATGGCAAGGAGGAGCGGACGCTAATCAAGGCCTATGGAATACGGTTTGACATCCTCGTCTTTGGCACAGTAAATGCTGTTCTTCTGATTTCCCCCCAAATCCATAGGGTGCTGTGCTGTCACACCTAGAGTATTCTCTGAAATGTTGGACTTGCTCAGGTGCATTGTGTTACAGAGACAGGGAAACGCTGTCAAGTTGTGTGTTAGGCCTTGCTTTGCCCGGAGACCAGTCTGCAAGGAATGGTCCTCATTGGTGACATCTAATCACTCTCTTCTGTTTTGCACCAGGCTGGAAAATTTGACTTTGTTGAGCTGGTGGTGTACATCGGGTCGACCCTCTCCTACTTCGGCTTGGTAAGAGATTTATTTCCTGTGCTTATGGAAATGACTGAGGACGTCTCGTTAAGAAAATTGAATCATGGCTCATTTTTGTTTGCACCAGGCTGTGTTCATCATCGATTTTCTTATTACTTCAAACATTTTTCCCTGCTGCAAATCACCTGTCAAGGAATATTACTACAGGAAGAAGTATGAGACTATGCCGGGACCAAAAGCGGTAAGGAAAGCAATCAGCTGCTTAAGTGGCACATTCAAATTCACACTCTCCCTCTCAGTATTCATGCTGTACCACCTCTGTGGCATGAACTGAACCTCTAGGCCGGGGTTTTTTAAGGAGTCTGAGAGAGCTGAATGCCTTCATCTCAGCCATAAACCTCTACATCACCTCACTCCTACCAGCATCTCTTCCTGCTCCCTCTGCTCCAGTTCCCTGTGCCTTCACCGCCTGCTCGCTCTGCCCTGCCTTCTTCCATGCTCTCCTCTGTGCCTGGAACAGCATCCCACTCAGCATGCACCTTCTGTGGGGCTTTTACCTGAGAAAGCAATGCAGGATCTGCCCCACCTGCGGATGCTCACTCTTCTTGTTACAGACGGTGATATATGTGTCATATGTTGATAAGCCACACGTGATTCTGGTAGACAAGCCACTGGACAAGAGTCTGCAGAATATTAAGGGTCAAGCTCTTGAGGTAAGAACAAGCATCTACTTTTGTGGAGTCGGTTCCAGAGTGAGTTGAGTTTTGCTTCCCAGGCCTCTCGCCTGACACTACCAAGTTTTGGAAGGGCTGGGGCCATGACCCTGCAAACCTCCAGAACTTAACTTTGTTCTGTAATCTGAAAACAAATTTATTTTAATAAAATTAAAAGATGCTGTTACCATCTGGCAGACACCCTTTGTAGATGTCCATTAGAATGATTTGATCTATCCAATTCCAATTAGATGGGAGTTTGCATTAAGGAAAACATCCACTATAATTGGTTTCCCCCATTAGTTTTCTCAACGGAAGGCCAGGATTGTGAAAATTAACTTACCCATTCAGTGCTAGAGATATGTGATCCAGGGATTAAAGAACATGGCCAGGGAACATGAACTGCGATTGCCTGTGCTGTGACTGTTATGCGGATAAAGGACTCCTGCCACCAGGGCTGTTGATCCAACACCTTTCACTGGGTATAAATTTACAAAGTGTATTTAAATGAATGCCCACATGGTATGTGTGTGAACCAGCCCTGGGCAACGTGGGCCCCTTAGCTGAGGGTTTGTTCTGCATTCAGTTTCGAGGCGGGTAAGCTATCATTTTCCAGATCTGCCACTTGACACTTCTTACTTCCATTTTGCTGTGTTAAATATGAGGCTTGAGCAATGAGAATCCAATTTTGTAATCTTAGAGTGATGTACTAATGACAGGGAAGTGCAGATATGGAAACTGCAAAAGAAAACACTACACGTCCTTACTTCACTGATGATGGGTTTGTTTTGGATTTTAGTTGCAGATATACCCTGAGGAGTTTACTGATACTACCAAGCACTCCAGTCAGGCCTCTGCCCTTGCCAAAGCCCAAGAGCTGCAACCTCTTCAAAGTAAAGGGCAAGAAGCTTCCTCCTCCCACAGGCTCCCGTCTTGGTGCTGCTGTGGGAAATGCCAGCAAACAGAGGCATTATGGGAACAGCTCTGCTGCCGAAGAAAAAATGGGACATGCATTACAGCCTCTCCTTTATTTGAGCAGCTTGTTCTTTCCAGATCCACACTGGAGTTTACCCTGCTCTACAAAGAGCCCTTGTTGGACTTGAATACTGAGACCCTCAATAACCGGCTCCGTCACTGTGCTTACAAACAGTATATTCACTGGCGTTTTGGCTCTGCAGAGTTGGCAGGCCGAGCTCTGATCCCGAGTTGCTGCAGGTGGAAGATCAGGGAAGCATATCCCAGTGAAGACGGCAAGTATTCTGGTTTCAAAAAGAGATGAGGAGCTTACCTTTCCTAAGCCTCTGATGCAGCTCTAGCCCTACAATGCAGCTTGTTTTGCACAACTAAGCCTCCTTTCTATTTCAAAGCATTTTCCAACTGAAATTTGTTTACTTATACTTCACTGCTGCATGAATAAATTCTCTACCCGGTGGCATCTGTGAGGCAGTACTGTTATCTTCTGCTTAGCGCAGGTGCTGGCAGTCAGGAGTCTTGGGTTCAGTTCCTCACTCAGCAGACTTGGACAAAGAATGCAGGCCATCATTTGCAGACGTGACCTCAGGTGTTGGGTGCCCAATGTGGCAGAGATTTAGAGCAGTGGGCATGGTAAGGGAAGTCAAAAGGTACTCTGCATCTTTAGAAATCAGACTGCACCAACAGTCATCTCAAGATGGGAGCTGAACAGTTAAGGAAGCCAAAAATAGATGGCACTTGAAATCTGACCCTTCTTTCTCCATCTGGATCATGGGAGTAATTCTTACCTACCTTAAGAAAGAGTTCTGGAGCCTTAGAGGAAAGATGCTATAAAACGGAGAGTATTCATGTCATTGGTCTGCTGAGACCCAGACACTATCAGTCCTTTGTCACACAAGTAGTCCTGCGGAGAGACAGCTGACAGGATCAGGCCCCTGAATATGTATTTTCTGGAGAAAGCTGTGCCACAACTCTGCTACCTCAGGCTTGTTCAGCTTTGCAGTTGGCCCAAGGCTATGTCTATCCTCAGCTGCCTTTGCATGCAGAACTTATGGTGGCAGACAAGCCACCCCCGCAAGCTGCCAGAGTACATACGTGTCCACTTGCTTCTGGTAGCTTCACATGGCTCCACTATAAAGCTTTGGGAGGCCACCAGCTGCTGGGTAGACCAGGGCCAGGGCTGTCTCCAGTTCTGCCGGCAAAACGCTGTAGTGTGAACTAGGCTGAAGATGCTACCAGAGAAATGAGCTTCCTCTGGGTGAGGTTAGTAACACAGACAGTGCATTTTTAACCATACGGTTATCTCAGTGGTGCCCCATTAAGCATGAACTCAGGAATTGCAATGAATAACATTTTTCCTGCTTTCTTACCTTACTGACAGACAGAAATCTGCGCTCATTTAAACCGATGCTTCACTCACTGATGTCCTGATGGTATCTGTTTAGCTGACAGCAGACTTTGGCCTCAGATTTGCTCTGACTTCAGTCCAGGCTCCATAATGCTCAGGGATGAGCACTGGCTTCATTGGTAGCCTGCAGTCTCAGGAGTGTGGAGAGCTCTAAGACTGCAGATAAAGGGTAGATACAGGCTAACGTTCCTGTGGGTTTTGTGTTATTTTTCCTTTCATTCTGATCCACCCCTTGTAACTTCTTGTAGAAATGAGGCAAGAGGGATAATAAATTAGTCTAGACTGGGCTTATGTCAGCTCTGCATTATTATACTTGTGCAACTCAATAGCTTCTGCTCTTAATTGTCTATGGGTATTTTAGAACAGGTTGCTGGAAAAATATTCCAGCTCTAATTGTGTTTCCAGTGGCAGCGTATACTAAATTGCATGGACATTCATGCAACAGCATCTCATTATATATATTGATTGGTACTGGATTCCTGCAGTCATTAACAGTCTTCCTACACTAATACATACGTTGGTTAACACACTTTCTTTGCTTTTGGATCTGTACTACTGACGCCAGCATCAGAAACTGGAGGTTCACCTGAGATTGACATTTTAGGTCTTGTTTGATACATGATTGATGTTATTCTGCAACCCTTTTATCCTCCTGGTTTTGATTCATAATAAAGACAGTGTTTAATGTACTTGTGGCTGAGTAAAAGTCTCTCCTTTAGTGGTTACACAGTAGTATCGATACTGAATTCCCACAACCAACCTACCATTTCCATTTGCTTATTCTCCTTGTTATGATTATTATTACCATCTGTGTTTCTAAAAGCCCGTCATGGTATCTGGGCAGCCAAATATCTAGGAATACAAGCTCTTTGTCACCTTCCTTGGTGACTTGAGACTTCATTCGTATGGTACGTGATTATGCTGTCAAAGGAAAAAAAGTGCAGTAAAGGTTGTGACTGAAGGGAGGAGATAAAGAGTGAGTCTCGGGCCTCAAGGCCCCATTCTGTCCACATAGTACGTGGGCAGCACTGGGGCTCTGCTACGATTGTGTCAGCTGGTCTAAATTCTGGTCTTGCCTCCCTCCTAAAACCTGCTGGCTGCAGTAGAGGAGCAGTGGTGTAACTGTGGGGAGAATCTGGTCCCAAGAAGTTTCAGACACGCAAACTGGCTTTTTTGTGGAAGTCCATTGCAATTTCCTCCCAGCACTTGAGACATTTGTGCCACAGGCTGTGTGTCTGGGTTGTCTAAAACCACTTATTCAGCCACTGAAAGCCAAAGGAAAATTATATTAGTCCTTGGGGCATGATTTTCCACAACTCCAGTGACTAATCCATCTTTGTATCCTGCTCATCTGACCCTAATGTGGTCCCTTTTGCCTTCATTACAAGCTTCATTTTCCCACTTTCCATCTGTTTTCATCCCTGTGGATAATACACATCTCACCAATGTCTGAGTCTTTGGGTGACTAGTGGCCACATCAGTATACAAGTAACTAAAATATATATATATATATATATATATAT